CAAAATTCTCACTCACCCCTAATCCTATTGATACAAAAACAAAAGGATTAGACTAGTCATTGTTAGCCCCCCCCCAACAAAAAAAAAGGAGTAAATTCTTGAGTTTTTATTTATTTATTTATGGATACCTAGAATTATGGTTCAACAGTAATAATAATATACATTCACAAAAAGATTGTACACAAACTGTATTGAGATTTATCATTTTAAAATACTGCGCTCATTAGTGACCTCTAGAATTTTTATTAAAAGTGTGGAATTCACCATACAAAAGTTGAATACGAAGTACATACCATTTTGTTGGAACAAAATTTAGAGTGTTTTTGTGATTATGTATGCAGAGACTTATTTGTCTATTTTTCCTATTTTGAAAGGTGAAAAAGAAACAGTTGGTGCTGCTATTAATAGAACCATAGGCAGCTTCTTCTCTCAATTGCAAGTAGAGAACCATCCTCCTCCTCCTCAAGCCAACAAGGACCATGATCGTGCTCTAGCCAAGGCCCAAGCTATTACTACTAACACATGCAAGCATGTTATCGACTTCTACAATGATGTATATATCTACTTCCTCCATCACTTCACTTGTCTTTACCTTATTATATGATGTAAATTGTAATACTTTCCTTGCTGAAATGAAACTGGGAACCAAACCAAGGTAAAAGATTGATTATTCAATGCCTATTCTATGCACACCATGGATTTCTCCTTCATATTGAGCATGATTTTTTTTTTTTTTGATTCTTTAAATATATAATTCCAAATATATATACATATGGATGTGAAAGTGATTTTGACTATTGTATGTTTTGTCTTTTTTGTTTGTTTTATAAACGCAGTGCCTTGGGGGAGGTTCTTGGAACAAGTGTGACAGTTATGTCGATATTATGAAGAAATGCCATCAAATGGGTACCTCAATTTCCATCCTTTGTCTCTCCTTCTATTGTACTACATAGTATAGAGAGCAAACATCATTTTCTCTTCCTTTCATGGAATTCTATTATTTTCTCTTTCTCTATCATTATTATTATTATTTTCTGGAAAATTCAGTGTAGTTTTTTTTTTTTGGTCTTAAACAACACTGCTCGATGTCAATTTAGCTCTCGTTTACAAGTTATTTATTTATTTACTATGTTTTATATCATTTCTTTGTTAAAATGCTAACCTTAATTTCGTATTTTGATTCTGAAGAAAGCCATTCCCCTGCTGCATCTCCCCAAGAATCCCAAGGTACGTACAAAAGTTTGTTCAAAAGCATTTGTTTAAGCTTTCTCTACAATTTATGTTTGAATAAATAGAAATTTTTATCAAAAATAAATAATAAAAAAATATCATTGTTTTTCTTCCATGCAAAAACCATCTGGATAAATCCTATATATTGAATGTTTACCTTTTTTTTATTATTATTATTATCAACAAAGAAGAATATGAAAATCAAGTTACAAACAGCTTATTAGATACATCAACGAAGTGAAATGGAACAATGCAAAAGGCATCACAGCAAAAAAACACCAAAGAAGACCAAAAAACAAGAAAGCCCCAAACAGAGACCAAATAACAGAACATCAGCCCATAAAAAGGAACAGAACCGCAATAGTTTAGGTTGAAAGTTCTGTAGCTGAACTGAAGGAACCAAGACTGATTGAATACGTTGAATACACCTTCAATAAAATTGGATTGGATCAAACCAAAGACCCAACCCAAATCTGCCTCAATCCAAAGCCTTGAGCATGACATGTCAACTAAGAAGATGGACACTTTTAAGGTGTGGGTTCTTGTCATGTTAGGGTCTGACAATGACACTTTTTAACAATGTGGGTTGAACACATATAAAACACATTATAAGTTCAAATAAAATAATTTAAAGATATAATGATAGAAGAAAAATGATTTAGCTGTGTATAGTTCTCCATCTTTTAGACCTTAAAAAAATGAATATTAAGTAGTATATTTACATACACACATATATATACTAAAAGGGAAATTCTATGGTAGACACCTTCTCAAGGTACAAAATTTTGGTTACGATTCAAGAGTTATTTGGTTATATTTCATGTGATATTTAGTTATGACTCAATTTTATTTATTTATTTTTTTTTAAAAGTAATGTCATTAATTTGTAATAATCAAACTCACAAATGACATAATTTGTATATGATACACACCCTAAAAAGCCTGTGTATACCATAATATGTCCCTTATAATTATAATAAATATATAAATAAAATATTTTGTACTGGTCACTCTGTATATCACGTTTCTGTATATTTGCTTCTTACCCCGTAAATCACTTGCATGAATTTAATATTAAAAAATATTATCGATCATGAAAATGTCATCCAAATTTTAATCCCGAGAGCGAGTGTGTAGTGTAGTAGATTTAAAGTTACACCCATAATACCATTGATTTATTTTCTTAATTTATAATATTAGTGATTAATATTTGCGTGGTGTGTTTTTTTGGTGTAGCATCTGCCAACAATAGTGACGATGTGTCTGCTGCTGCTCCTCCAATTCCCACATTACGTCTTTCAATTAATCTTCTGCTCATGTCCTACCATGGTGTAAGTTCTTCTATTTTTCTTGCAATTATTCCTTTGTTTTTATTTTTTATTTTCATATATATATATATATTTTTTATGTTAGAGATTACATGTAACTATTTTAGGGTAAATTATAAATACACATTTGAAATTTGCTTAAAGTATGATTTGTTCCTGTAGTTTTGAAAATTATATCCTACCGTTTCTAATTTCATAACAAATTATCTTTTTTATTAATAAATTATCAAGTTTTAACAATTTTTAATGATATTAAAAATTTATTTTAATTAATAATTCAGATAATTTGATCATTGTATAGAAGTGCAGTTAAAAATTTCATTTTTTTTAGTTAATTCTATTAAATAAAAAGTTATGACAAAAGATATTTGTAATTTTTCAAATTACAAGAAACAATCCATGGTTTAAGCAAATATCAAAACGTGTAATTGTAATTTATACTATTTTATGAATAATGTTATATGCACCGATTGGTATACCAATAGATGATGTGGTATAATTTTAAAGGTCTTGGACATTTGTAATTTGTATAATGGGTGATGTCAGTAATAATGTCATAATATATGTTGGTACACCAATTGATACATTAATTAATGTATTTAGTATCACTGATATTTTATTACAATTCTTGTTGAATTGAAAAATTTCCCAAGATTTTAAATAATTACTTTTGAGTATCGTTAGAAATCTTAAAAATTTTAATAGTATTTTTGATTATTTTTACATTGATATGGTAGTCAACAAAACCAGACTAAAAAGATTCACCCAAACGAACCTTTAATAGAGTGAATGATAACTTTATTATAGATTACGTCACTAGTACATTTTTTCTCCCAACTTATACTCAAACTTATTGGTTCCTTATCTTTACCAATATTTTAATGTAATCCTCCCATTATTTATTGTTAAAATTTTAAACGAAAGTACTCTCGTGAAGGCATTTCAAGAGCATTAGTAAAAAAAAAAATTAGAAGAAAAATTATAGTTTCATCATCCAACGTTTACTTAATTTTTTTTTTAGTCTTTTATGTTTTATTTATTAAAATTTTAAATAATGAAATAACGGGAGAGTTGTTTTAAATACGAGATTAAAGTCTAAGAAGTAAATTGTTAGAATTAAAAGGTTAATAAAATGATATGGATCCCAAATAAATTATCAAATTTTTTATCAAACCTTTCATATGTGTATAGGATCCACACACAATAGATTTAGTCATTTTGGAACAGTTTTGTTTGGTTTACATTTTAGTAAATTATTTTTAAACGAATTTTTAATTGTCTTTAATTACTGAACTTTTTCATATATATATATTTAATGAGTAATGCTAGGGACACCAAATTTTTTACCAAACAAATGACCAAATAAAAAATTTTAACTAAAATATCCAAAAAATTCACTAAAAATAAACAAAAACCCAAACAAAAAATGCACATAGATTTTTGTTCCATTTTTTTTTGTTTATTTTTCTATTTTTTTAAATATTTTCGCCAATTTATTTTACTTTTTAGGTGCATACAAAAAATGGAATAAAATATAAAAAAATTCAGTACAAAAATACAAAAACTCATCTAAAAATAATTTTTTGAAAAATTAAACAAAACAGACACTTTGCAACACACTCAACAAAGGATGCATTTCTTTCTATTTAGCAAGTGTTTACAGATAGTGTAACCAGAAGTTTTTGCTTATATATATATATATACCTTATCAACTAATATATTCATATAGATGCAATGCTGTTTTTGTTTGTGGTTTAAATTACAGTGCAGGAACAAAAAATATCAGACGTATGAGTGCGCAAAGTATCTTAATTATATCAAGGAAGCTTATAACTACCAACGTTAGGATAGGATACCCAATTATCCATCCTCCTCTACGTTGCTTCTCATCTCATGGAAAAATCACCTCTCCCTCTCTCTCTCTCTGTCTTGAAGTTTTACATACTGGTAGCATTCGCAGGATTTTTTTTTTTTTTTTTTTAGTATTAATCATAAAAGACCATTATATCTAGTTATTCAATTCCTTCTATTATTGTTATTTTTTTGGTTTTCTTTATTTCCCATGGCGTGTGTTTACCTGAAAGACTTTAAGGCTATATTTGGTTAATAGATTTAGAGAGGGATTTACCCCCCCCAAAAAAAAAAAAAAAGTGTATGAAATGTAGGTAAAATATAATTAAATTTTATTTACATTTCACTTATTTTTTTCTTTTCATTTTTCAAATTCATTTACCAAATGTAAGTGAATATGGTTGCAAATTGAAATTGATATATATCATAAAGAGTGCTGCTATTAGCATCCCATTAATTATTTAAAACCTCCCCAATTTTTAACTTTCTTTCACTACAAAAATTTTGGTTTTTTGCAATGGCGTGGTGCCGTCGCAAATACTCTTCATGCCGTCTCAAAAAAGTTTTAGCGTCGACAAATGACTTTTAGCGACGACAAATGGAGGATCATAATAGAGGGCGTTGCAAAAGACTTTTAGCGATGGCAGGCGCTGCAAAAGACTTTTAGCGACGACATCATGTCGTCGGCATTTTTTAGCGACCGCAATTGGTACCTTTTGCAACGGCAATTTGCTGTCGACTATAATATGTAAAAAAGTCAGACTTTTTGCGATGGCTCCATTTTACTGTCGCTAAAGGTGTTATTTGAGACGGCAAAAAATGCTGTTGCGAATGGTTTTGTTTTTTTGCGACGGCATGCCCACTGTCGCCAATGGTCCTAATATTTTTGTGACGGTATCGTGTCGTCGCAAAAAAAAAAAAAAAATTGCAAAATAATTTTTAAAATTAATTATTAAAATTACCTGTTTTTTGGGACGGTGTGGTGCCACCGCAAAAAAAAAAAAAAAAAAAAATAATAAAAAAATTAAAATTACCTGTATTAAATGAAAATTTGAAAATTTAGGTTGCAAATAATGACTGTCCCAAAAGGAAAGGAAACAGACACAGCTCTAAGTAATTAGCTGAGCACCTTATTTGATAGAGGAGATGCCCTCTTTAATTTGGTGAACTTGTACACACGTCATATATATTCATATCATGTTGATTTTTTGGTGGACTTGTACACGTCATATATTCATATCATGTTGATTTATGAGTATAGGTTACATGTGTGTTTTTGTAGAATTATGCTTTGTATAAGATGAACATATTTGGAGAGTGAATTATTTTTCTTATTGATTTTGCCATCCCTAAACTTGAGTATAATATTTCTCTCAATTCAATTCCCTTATTCCCTATTTGGGGTGTTACACTAGGGCACACGAGGTAAGATATAAGGCGAACCTATTACATAATCTCTCCCATCTTAATGATGATTTGAATCGCTTATCTCATAAGCTTAGTAGGAAAGATGAGTTGAACAATAAATTATTTACGACTTTGTTTGAAAAGAGACTAAATTAGTCAAAAAAAATAAAATAAAAAAGTCAATACAAAAAGTCAATGAATATGTTTTACTTTTAAACACATCTTTTCACAAAATGTCAAAAAGTCGCTACAAAGTCAATTTCTAAACAAACTTTTTAAAATAAAAAGAAATTATGAGTTTAAACTTAAATCGTCCATTTTATAAAATAAAATGTGATTTGTTCATTTACTTATCAATATCTGAAGTTGATTTTTTTGCAAAAATAGTTTTCACTGTAAGGTTTACAAGATAAATAGTTCGGATTATCATTATAAACTCAAAATAGAATCCACAAAATAAAATATAAAAGAATATGAAAGATAGTGATAGAAGAGCGACACTTTTTTGGGGTCCTAGCATTTGTGATTTTATACACAATCAATGGTAACTTTTAGGTGCCAATAATTGATTGTCATAAACTCAAAAATATAAAAACCAACTACCTTACTATGTTATTTTAAACGAATTTAGGGATTCAAATTGTGAGATTCTAATTTTTTTTCTTTTATTTTAAAGATACTATAGTTGTTAATCTTGTAAAAAATATAATTTATTAGGGTAAATTTCAAATGCATCTTTTGAAATTTATTTAAAATACGGATTGTTTCCTGTAGTTACGAAAATTACATTTTGGCCCCTCAAATTTCTAATCGCATAACAAATGACTACTTTTATTAATAAATTATCAAGTCAATTAACAGTTTTTAGTGATATTAAAAATATGTTTCAATTCAAGTAATTTTATTGTTATATAAGAGAGTAGTTAGAATTTTTTAATTTTTAATTCTATTAAATAAAAGTTTCTTACAATGGGGTATTTATAATTTTCAAAATGATAGAGGATAATCTGTATTTTAAGCAAATCTCAATGAGTGTATTTGTATTTTATCCAATTTATTACTTTTTTGTTTGTTTTGGCAAAAAAATGTTTTCCATACAAAACGTTTTTTTATGTTTGGTTGCATTCTTAAAATTAATATACTAATAGTTGCATTAGTGGTAGTGGGAGTGGCAGCGGTAGGATGAAAGTAGAGGTGTTGGGGGTGGCGGCGACGGTAGTGGTGCGATGGCGGTTGCGGCGGCGATAGTAATGAGATAGATGGTAGTAATAGTGGCAGTGGTGATGGTGTTTGTGGCCGTGGTGGTGGTGGAGGTGATGGTAATGGTGGTAATGTAGTGGAGCTGATAAAATTTTGGTTTGTAAAACATTTTTTGTTTTTTGTCCAAATAAATTTATTTTTTTATTAATTATAAAAATTATTTTCCATTAATTTTGATTTTTTATTATACCAAATTACAAAAAAACAGAAAAAACATTTAAAAAAATATTTTTTTACCTAAACAAGCGAACTGTAACGAAGTATTACAATCCAAGTCTTTTGAATTGGAAATACAAATATCTCGTAGCATAATTAGGGGTGTAACTTGAGCGGTCTCAATCTGAGCAACTCAAGTTTAGCCTGAATTTGTTTAGGGTTTGAATAAGATATTTTTAAATTTGATACGAACTTGGATAAAATTTAGAAGTCCAAATTAAATTTGGACGGGCTTGGGCAAAAACGTCAAACAACCTGAGCAACCCGAAGTCCGAATTATACATATATAGATATATAAAAATATTAAATATACATATAAATTATTGGTCATAGCATGATATTAAAGTAATTTAGATTATTAAATCATATTGAATACATATTATATATACAAATAATATAAAATCTTACTTTTTTTATTTTCACTTATAAATTAT